CGTCTATCCAAACCACTCCCCATTTTCCCTTGATCCTCCTCCTATTTACGGGTCATGTCATCCTTAAAAAACTATAAATAGCCCCTCGTTTCTCTTAAGAGGGAACTCCAAGTAAGAAGGAGAAGAATAAGAGAATAAAAGTAGAGGAGGAGGGAAGAAACTTCTTGACAACCGTCGGAGTTCTTCCCAACTTTTAAGTGACGCCGGAGTTCAGCCCAACTTTCAAGTGACACCGAAACTTCGCCCGATCTCCAAGTGATGTCGAAACTCCATCTAATCTCCAAGTAACACCAAAACTTCACACGGTCTCCAAGTGACGCATGAATTATGTCCGATCTCTAAGTTACTCGGGAGTTTTGATCGAATACCAACTAATGCCGGAGTTCTCCCCAGTCGTCGACTAACATCGGACTTCTAGCCAACGCCGAACCTCCGCTCGTCACCAAATTTCTACTCGATGCCAGACTTCTGCCCATTGTCGGACTTTTGCCGGACATCTATCCAATGCTGAATTTTTGTCCATTGCTAGACTTCTACCTGACGGCGTCCTTCTGACCTCCGTCGTCAGACGACGGTCCTACCGACCTCTGTTGCCCACCAACTATGATCTTTCTGACTTACGTTACCCATCGACTATATTCCTTTCGACCAAACGAATATGTTAATAATGACTATTTGTATTCACATCATATACTTTATATAATGTACACCAAGTCAAGGCCTTCCCTTTAAGGAAGGGCATCGTTTATAATTGACTGCAAATAATAGTGGTTTTATTCAAACTGGGCTAGGCCCCGTGGTTTTTCCCCCTTTTGAGGGGTTTTTCATGTAAAACTCTTGGTGTCTCATAAATGATACATCATCTCTCTTATCTGATTGCGTGCCAGATTTTCATACAAAATTAAGATGCTAAATTTTATATTTCTCTACCGCCACAAATACTCCAGGACGCAACAATAATAATAGATAATAAAATTACCCAAAGTGATATAGTCATTAACATATGCTGAGAAAAAAATTATGACTATGGCTTCGTTTGAGAGGGCTGTAGCTGTCGGTAAAGCAGGTTGTGAAGTTGATGCTCAGAAAACTACTTTCTAAAGTTGTTGTACATAAATCAATAAATTGTGTTTGGGTAGCATAACTGTCGAGTTGTTTGTGTTGCTGCTGTATGACAACAAATTACTTTGATACCCTTTTATATATTAAGCAATACTAATGTATAAATATGAATGTTTTAAAGATTCTGGGAAATATTTGAAACCTAACATTATCACTGCATTTGACAAAAAATATTGAAATGAAAAATCAATGATTCACATACCAGCTAAGGTTCCAAAAAAAGCAATAACTAGCTAATGCCTACGCAATGTTGGAACTGAAGATGCTTCAATTCGTTGGTGCTCTAATAGTATATGTTATAGCGACAATGCCATAAGCTCTAAGCTTGGATTAACATGTTTGATTTCAACTCTTGAAGCTTGGATTAGACGGCTTCAAGCTTTAAGCTGTTATCAACATATTTGACAACTCAAAATTCATGACATAGGATTACACCATAACGAGGTTGTGCAAAAATAAGATGGCCCGTATAACACCAATATTCCATGAAGAGTACTGCAAATATACCATAGGAAAATTCCACATTTCCAAACAAAGCAGAATTTATAACACCAAGCTAGCAAAGATTGACTAAAGCCACTTTATTTCTTATTTCATAATTACAATATAACTACTGTTGCGTTCAGGGTCTTCGTATAAAGCTAAGAAGTTAAATCATATATTTCTCTATCGTCGTGAATATTTTAGGACAATTATTACGTTTAGCTTTGTACGAAAATCCAGCGCGCAACATCTAAAAAAATTTGTTATGAATACAACCATATGAGCATAGACAAGTACATCTATCTGAACTTTATAACTAGCACAACACCTGTTTAAAAAAAATTATATATAGGCACAACTGAGATCACAAACGATATAAACCAGAGTCAAACCTAAATATCCGTTCTTTTCCTTGAAATGTTATTAATTTTTCAAAATGAAATAATAAACACCAAGGGAATTCCTTCCTAATTACTATAACTATGCCTACCAAACTTTATTAATTATTATTGAAACCCCAGTGATTAAACTTTGGTTAATCTACTAAGATTTTCCAAAAAACTATAACAAAATAAGTCGCAACAAGAAAAAAAAAATGCGAGATGTCACTGTGAGCAGCTAACTGGAGGCATGGATTCTGCCAAGAGAGGACAACGGTGAGGAGAGGCCGAAGGCCAAAGCATTTCGAGGGGAGGACGAGGACAGCGGACAAGGACACTGCATCTCAAGGTGTCTACCCGACATTAGGGCAGCCGAGAAGAGAGAGAGAGAGAGAGAGAGAGAGAGAGAGAGAGAGAGAGAGAGAGAGAGAGAGAGAGAGAGAGAGCAGAAATGAATTGAAGAGAGGATGATAAAACCCTATCCAAAGGAATCAAAGAGGTATTGTAGGCAAACGTTATTGCGGAAGAGAGGTGCAACATCGGAACTGTGTCGCTAGGACTGCACCGTCGCGGCCACCGCCACCCATGCTAGGGCAGCTGCTGCAGCGTGGTCGCGAGATGACATCGCTGACGACAAGGGAGAAGCAGTCTCGCACAAATGGGGGCATTTACGACATCTTTTTCTTTTAAAACCATGGGAAGCAGCTGACCACGGGAGGCAATGAAAGGTTGCAGAAGGAGTGAAAGGTTGCGGGAGGCAGCGACATGCCACAAAAATTTTTCTAACTTCGTTTTGCAGCAATACGCCAAACAAGTATTTAACAAATTTTTATAAAGCAACGCAGCCGTGAAGCCGTCCCAAACGAACCCTATATAATATTATGCATATGATATAAATAGCTAAGGAGCAAGTAATTGCTACATAAAGTAGAACATATGACAACCAATCTTAGATGATGAAATAACATGACGTAATACAAGTGACATGTTATGTTATGCAAGTCGATAAAATGATGCTTTTAATGGACTAACATTGGAGTATGCTTGAGCACATGACATCATTGTATAAAGCATGGGATGAGATATTATGCAATATTGTCATCACCTTAATCTTAGTCACAACTAATGTTTGTTTTATTATATAATTGTGTAAAGAAACATTTTGGCATAACAGCAATAAACTTTGGAACTTTGTATGGTTAAGCAAATGTGCATATTATGCTTGCATTTGAAGATAAAATGAAAGAAGTCAACTTCTATTTTCTTTCTTTGCTTTATAAACTATTCAAACCACCTTTTCAATTTAGTGATATGACAACTAGGAAAGAATATTTCATTATCATACAATAATTTTGTAAATTTTCTTTTTTTATTTTCATTTGAAAGGTGCAAAAATTAGCAAAGCAATATTTTGTAATAGGTAAAAGATTATTTTTGTATGGAGAAGCCTTTCTAAATGGTTAAGTAATTCATATGTTGTTTGTATTCCCAACTAAGATCGATGACCTTTGTATCTTATTCTTTGATTTCGTAATAGCTGAACCTATTTGAATTAGCGGCTTATGATCAATTGGACTACTGAAGGATATGTAAAATGGGACGTGTTAAAGCCAAATGAGATATATGCTTCGTTTGTGACAACTTTCTTTTTGTTTTCTAAAGCAGCTTTATAGTACAAAAATTTATACTTCAATTTTTTTTTGTACTAAAAAACTTCTTTAGAAAATAATAAAAAAGTTGTCCCAGACCAACCTATAATCTCATAAAATGCTAAATGAATATATGGTAAGATTTGTGAATATATAATTTTATGAAACTGTTTCATCCAAAAATAAATAAAATAGGCTATGACACATCTTATTTGAGCTTAATCAAAGATCCATAAAAAAAAGTTTTTAAATATCAATATTTGGCATCAACACCAAGCTATGCTAATAATAAACTTGGAATTACAATCATTCATGTTTCAAAATACAATTGTCGCAATATCTTCAAAACAATAAATACTTAAAATCAAATCAACTTTATAACTACAATTGTTGCAATTTCAAAATTATCTAAATAATTGAAATCTAAATTTTTTTTTTATTGTTTGTGCATTGGTTTATTATGGAGCTGTCTTTCTGTTGATGGATCTTTTTGAGTAGGGAGTTAGTCTTGGTGGGAGCCTGGTTGATTGGCGGTTGGCTTGGAGTTTGTTTGGTGTTGGCTTGTTCTTATGTTAGCTAAGAGTTATTTTGTTGGCGGAGCTTATCTTTGAATATGGAGCAGTCTTTCTATTGGTAGACCTTTTGGAGCTGGATTTAGTTGTTTTTTGGCAGCTAAAAGATTTTTCCTTTACTGTTTTTTATATTTTCTTTGAGTTTAAGACTAGCTTTCTAGTCTTATTTTTCTTGGTTGTTAAGGAGCTTTTGATTAGTTGGCTTTAGGATTTCTTTTAGGATTCTTTTCTTTTTTTTTTTTTTTAAAAACATAGGGCTATTTTTTAAGATATTAAAAAGTTTAAGCATTATATAAATAAATATATTAGATTTTGGGGTTACAGATAGTCATATAAATATATAAATATATAATTTATATTGTCATAAATATCCCCATTTTATAATTTATAATTCATTATATCGAAAAAGAAAGTCTGATTAAATTATTCTTCGAAGACAAATTTATTTTTAGATATTTTTAAGGAGGATGCGACACAATGGGAGGAAATATATATATTTTTTTTTTTGGGAAAAAGGAAATATATTTTAAATATCATTAACTGTATTTTTTTAATAAGCTGCTTTAATTAAAAAAATCTGACGAGCCCAGTCGTGCACCGTAGGAGTCAAGAAAAAGTTATTTATTTTCTTGAATCAGATCTACGCTTTCATTGGTCAGCATCAACTGCACGACTATTGATGTAGATCGAAGGGTTAATATTACAAAACAGTTGTAATCCATCAAATCACTGTTGCACAGGAACTGTACGAGCCAGCTGGATTCCCTTGGTACCCCGCCATCTCCCTGGCACTGCTTTCGCTTTTTCGTTTACCCAACCCCCTCTCCTCTCTCTCACTGCTCTCCTCTCTCTCTCTCTCCTCCTTTCTCTCGAAATGGAAGGAGCAGGTAAGAGGCGTCCAAAAACAGCAATAAAAGAGAGGAAATGAAAAAGAGGAGAAGCGCTTTTTCTCCAATTTGAATCCATTTTTCCATTTTTTTTTTCTCTGCCTCTTTCAGTGCGTTTCTGTCTCGGCGCTGATTCTTTGGTCGTTTTTTTATGGCTTCGTTGGTTCGGTTTTGTTCCATCCTGTCTTCCTTCTGTACTCTACTTGGTGGGTTTCGATCGGAGCTGTAATTTTGTGGGAAATGTTGTTTTCTTGAATCTGCTACGATTGATTTGAGTATGGGTATGGAGAATGTATGTAGTAACTGTTGCATTGTATCCGCATGTTTGTGATTTTAAGCAAGAATATGGAAGCTAGGGCTTTAGCTCTGGAAGCCAGGAGCTTTCTCTTTGAAGTTTGTAGTCGTTTCAGACATATTTGGTGCAAGATTGGCTACGTTTTTACGAAATGCCTGTCACTTATCTTTGTTCTATATAAAAAGGGTAAATCTGGTTGGCGGAGCAGGGAATCTGCAAACCGTTTAGATCGCTGTATTTCAATGAACAATGCTGTTTATATATAAAGCATTTGGAGTTTAGGTTGCAACAATGCTGTTGCATTTTAGAACTGGTTTTTTTATTTTGTCAATTCTTTTTTAATTTGTTCACAGGACTGTTTTTTATTCAATTTTGGTTTGCTATAATACTAAAGAAATTTTGATTTTATTCAGAGTAATAATTTCGAGATTCTGGTTTCTATTTCAGAATAAGAGGGGATTTTAACATGGGTAAACTAACTTAGATGCGCCACAGTGATCTATAACAACTTGTGATGTCGCGCCCTTCACACCTTCCACCTCGCCCATTGCAAAACAAGTGCCTGCGGACACGTTCATTAGATTCGTCTGACCTAATTTCACAAGGAGATGATCAAGTTCTTCCAGAACTCTATAGATACCCCTCTATGGATTCTCTTATAGAAGAGAATCCCTCCTGGCTAGATGACCTCTTAACTGATTCGGATTCTAGCCCCCAAGTAAGATGCCATCGGAGGTCTGTAAGTGATTCTCTGACCATTTCCCCAGGCTATGTTAACCTGAGCACACTCGCGCACCCCACCACCATATCAAATGTTTCAATCCATGAACCTCAAGCTGCTGCTGGGAGTATGAATGGTAGTGGGCTTGAAGCAAATTGTGTTTATGGTCCTAATTCACCAAGACAAATGAGCAAATTAACCAATTCAGAAAGTGCAATGGTGAATGCCCTACTTGAAAAGGTTCCTCCAAAAAAATTACAGTATGTTGAGATCTCTGGTGGCAGCCGAATTCATGAGCCTGGTCATGATGAGACTGCTAGTGCTGAGCCTGAGCTTGAGAGAACATCAAGAAGGTAAACTGTCTATTTTTGTTGCGTGTTAAATGTCTGATGATTTCTTTCTCTTATGTTTTACATCATAGAATGCTTGGTTCTTGGTAAGGACTGTGAGTTTGCAAAATTTTTATTGATATTCTTGCTTGTCTCACTCTCTGTTTTTTTTTTTCATTTGTATGTTCTCTAAATACCTGTGCAATTATACTCCAAGGTCTACTCTATCTGGTCAAGACAATGTTTACTGATTTTCATTATGAACAAATGACTTAGATGAGGGTGCTTGTCATCAATTCTGTTTTATATTTTTTGTAGAAATGATTGTGGTGTTATGAAATTATCGGGTGAGAGTAGGTGGTGGGGTTTGTTAAGGGTTAATGCATGAGTGAGGGGGAATTTGGGTGGGTTACACCATCCCCTATGTTGAAAACCTGCCTTCTCCTATGTTGCAAACAAGTACTGGTTACAATGTTGATCACAAAGGAAATGCTAATTATTCACCATCTGTTTTATGATTTTGCTTTCCGATTATTAATGTGATAGGAAAAAACATTTGAGGATCTTTTGGTTGTTCATTAGCTTTTTTTAAGAGAATTTTTCTAGCTGACAAAATTCCATAAAAAATCTATCAAAAATAGTTTTTATCAATGAATTTTGACTATTTTTTTGCATATTTTATCATCGAGAAATGGTTGTTTTCTTGTATCATCAACTTAACTGAGTAGAATGAATCAAGGGAATGTCGCATATGAGCTGTCAAGGATGGGGAAGGAAGATGACGAGCACCATGCCCAGCGGGAGAAGGAAGATGAGAATGAGCGATAGGTCATGCGTCTTTTCGGCTGTAGAACGACGCCGTAGACTCTCCTTTTGCTCCCACAGGAAGGCAAAGAAGCCCATACAAAACTTCCTTTCCAGCGACACCAGTGAAGCAGAGAACCTGATAAGGGGTAATTTTATCGATAGAGGACATAAATCTTTGCTGGAGGCCTTGATTACAATTTAAAAAATTATGTGAAGGTATATGGAAAAATAAAAAAAAATAAATGAAGAACAAGTGATTTGAATCATGTGTTTAAAACATCTCCTTATTCAGAACCTTACTCCTTCATATATAGGGAGATATTTCATATTTTTCTAACATGGAAGGGCGGGTTGAATAGCCACACTCACACTAAATATAGGTTGTAGATATCATCCATCCCTAGCTTGTACTTTAAAAGCTTGAAACTGGTATGTGATAATGACTTCTAAAAATGCCTACCTCAACTTCTGTATTAGTTCTGGCTGGTATTATTGAAGTTTATTTGATCAACAAGTAACCAAGTTCTCCCACACTTGAGTACACTACAAGGCTTGATAAGGAGGAGATTATCCATGCAAGTTTGATAAAATATTGTTAAGTAATAAGGATGTTTGATGTGGAATTTAGTTAGTTTTTATTTCTCCTTTTTCTATAATCATCGATATATCATGCGAGGGGTAATTTTATAGATAGAGAACTTAAATCAACCCTTGAGGATTTGATTACAGTTTTAAAATTATCTAAAAGGCATATGAAAAGATAAGAAATAAATGAAGGGTTAATGATTTGAATCATGTGTCCAAAATCTCTCTTATTTTATAACTCAAATCTTTCATATATAGGGTGATATTTTCATGTTCTTCCAAACAAGGAAGGGAAGGGCGGGTTGAGTTGCCACACTCCCCTGCAATTTAGGTTGCAGATGTTAATCATCCCTTATTTGTAATTTGAAATTTTGAAGCTAGTATGTGATAATGAATTTCTAACTTCCAGCTTCTTTTGATGAAGATACAAACACGTGTATATGAGCTTCATGAGTACTTCCAGCTTCTTTTGATGAAATAAACCTCAATCTCTATATGTTTTGTTATGTCTTAATAAATAATATTCATTGCAATACTTATGACAACTTTGTTATCATATGACATCTTCGTAAATTTTCCAGTTGATGTTCTTAGTTTCCTAAGTAGCTGATCCACATACCTTCACATATGCTTTGGGACTCTAAATTTAGCTTCCACATTGCTTATGGCTTGCTATTATTTACCATTCTTTCATCAACAAGTAACCAAGTTATCCCACACTTAAAAGTACACTACCATGGAGTTGATTTTCGACTTGCTGTTGGCTCAACTCAATTAACATTCACTTAATAATCCAGTGCCCCTTAATTGATGTGAAACTCTATAGCAAGAAGGTTCGTCAGTTCATTCATCTCTGTCTAATCATCTTTAGCAACGGCAATGCTATCCAAATATATAAATGAGAATGGCCATTTTTCTCTTAAATGAATTTGACAAACATAGTGTGATTTGATTGACCCTGAGCAAATGAATATGTTTTTATCACTTTTGTAAATTTATCAAACCATTCAAGTTGTGACTGTTTAAGGTCATAAAATGAGTTTTAAAGCTTGCAAAAATTGTTGGCATTTTTCTAGGACTCAATACCTTGAGGGATTTTTATTTATGCTTCTTCCACGAGGTCATATTTAAGAATACATTCTTGACATCTAGTTGATGTAAGACCAATCTTGATTTGCTGTTATGATAGCAAAATTCTAATTTATCTGAGTTTGGCTATCAGGAAAAGCATCCCTTTATAGTCAATTCTATCGGACTGGATGAACCATGCTGCAACAAGTTGAACCCATTTTGCCTCTCAGTTGTGCTTGACAATGAAAATCCGCCTACATTGAGGTGGTCTTTCCTTCGGGTGGATATGAGTTTTTCCAAGTTATTTTTTTTTCTCCACTGTTTTGATTCTCTTAGAAATAATCTTACACCTTGGCTGGCTGAGAGCTTTTTTTATGCTATTCAGAATTTGTTAATCCATCAGAGTGATGAGAAGGCTTGAAGCTGGGAGACAATCCCTTAAATATATAATTTTTACAGATTAAAAATTAAATTATTTATTTGTCACATGCACGAAGCCAAGGTGCATGCACAAATGTAGGACATATGAATGTAGGATGCACGAGAAAACATGGGACTCACGGGTTTGGAAGCAGTACGTGTTAAGGAAGGTTTTGACTTGAAGATGTAACTTAGGATGTTGAAGAAGCTGCAAAAGCTGACCTTGTGATGGAAAGTGATTTTTTATTCATCGTGCTGAGCCAGTAGTGGATCCAATTTAGAGCATATCTAGATGTGAGGATATGGAATCAAAGTCTAGCGGAGTGATGGATCCTTTTTAAAAAAAAAAAGGATATGGAATCAATGTGCTTTGACACCATGCTGAGTTTAGACTTCAGAGAGAGCTGAAGTTTTATTTCTGCTTTTTCTCTACTCATCTATAAATGAGGCAGGGGGCAATGTTATAGCTAGAGGACTAAAATCAGCCCCTTAATATACCTTAAATGCTTATGAAAAAGCTGGAAACAAACAAAGAGAAAGAGATTTGAGTAAGTTATCTAAATCTCTTCTTTTAGAATCATAAAATCCTTCACATTCAGTGAGAGGAGAATTTTTTTCATATATAGAAGGGAGAGGGGTGAATATCTACATTTGATTATCCTCTTTTCAAGAAGCCTTGATTTAAGGAGGTTACCTCTAACCATCAGTTTTGCTGTCAAATGGCACTGCAAGTAAACGGTTATGATCCGGGTCCTTTGAACCATGTGGTTTGCAGCCAAATGACACCACTAAATTACGGTCATGGTTAGAACCCATTTGCTCCCCAATGGTAGTAAATCCTTGAGATATGAATCAATAGGATATAATCGATAGGGCACAAAGCCCTCTGTTAGCTAAGATGGATTCATATTTGTCCCCGTAGGCAAACATTCACTCCAAGTCTACAAGGTATCATTGGACGTCATAACCCATGGATATCGATAAGAATCCTTATGTCAGGTTGGATCGACTACCTCCTATGACTAAGTAGACTAGAGATCACGATGCCTCGGGACGACGGAACCACGGGATCTTGATTGGGTCCATCAACACTTCCCTCACCATCGGCTTTAAGTGCAAGATGGTTAAATTTTTATTTTAAATATTAAATTTCTTAATATTGCTGCTACTATACGCCAAATAACACATATCTCTACGTATCTGATTGACGACTAGCCTTAATTGAAAGTTCTCTCTCGCTATTGGGAGGGGTAATTAATTATAGGGGCTTGCAAACCAAAACTCAGATCATAAAGTTCTCGTAAAATGAGGGCGAAATCTCTGGGTAGTGTATTATTTCGAACCCAACATGCTTTCTAAAATTTATCTTGGAACTTAATTCGTTAAAACTCTCCCGAAAGCAGGGGAGGCCGGGGCGGGCATTTTTGGAGCCTGCAGGAGGCAATCTAATCCTCTAGAAATTCTGATTGAAAATAGGTTAACTTTTATGTTATTGCGGACTTGTTGTTTGTTGTTTGCTTGAGTTTCAACTTATGCAAAATTTAAGAGTGTAATTTTTAATTGGATATAAGCAATAGCATAAATGAGCTGCTCTGGCCTTCAAAAACTAAACTAAGTTGTTCTTTTTTATCTCGTCATGTGAAATGGTTATGCCTTTGATGCAAGATTCCTTAGAAGTTTAGATATTGTATTTCTACTGTTAGAAATTAGAATTACGTGAGTATATATCTACAATAAAATGCTGTTGGATATTTTTGATGAGATTGTTTTTATATTGATAATTATTTTCTGATATCTTTGGGTAAAAAGTTGTGATTTCTGAATGAATTTTTTCTTATGTTAATAGTCTTGTTTAGGTATGAAGAAACATCCGAATCTTGAAGCAACAGAATCGTTATGAACAAGATAGACTATCAGCTTTCTGTATGCAGATCACCAATATACTTTTGTAATTACAAAATCTCTAGACAACGTGTATCTTCGCCATTTTTAGGACCTTTATTTTTGCCACGTTTAGCTGTTCATTCGAAAATAGATTGCTCTGCCAAACTTTCTCATAGAATCTAAATTTTTGGCAATGCTGCTAAATTCTTCCGGTCGTCAGAATCAGAATTGGACAGACATTAAAAGGGTTGCATAAATCTATCCTTTTATTCATGAATGCTACCATTATTTATCTGCTTGCTTGCGGTTAACTTTTCAATATAAGCACTAAATTTAGCAAAGGGTTTGCTAGGTTCAAAGGCAGTGCAATATTTATACATAAAGATAGTACAACAACAACAACATTAAGCCTTTGTCCCACTACGTGGGGTCGGCTACATGAATCATTTTTCTCCAATTTTTTAAAAGATTTATATCATGATTATCCAACAAGTTTTACGTTGGTTGTCGACTACTTTCTCCATTTTTCTCATCTAGAAGTTGGGTCTTGACAATTGATTTATATAGAAAGATAGTGATAATTATAATTTTTTTTTCCTATTTTGTCGTTTCTTTTAGCTTTCAGGTAGCTTGCTATCTTATTGGTGGGTTTTATTGATATTATATGTCGTCAAAATATGGCTTAACTGTTTTTTTTTTTTATGAATTTTTTATTTAAAAAAAAAAACTTGTTTTGTTGTATGTTATGTGAGGATTACCAATAGACATAGTTCATTCTCAACTGCCTAAGATTTGTGCAGGCGCTCAGGGCAGCGATCGAGGGTTCGGAAGCTTCAGTATATATCTGATCTCCAGAAAACTGTCGAGTCTCTTCAGGTATCTTTGTAAATAAACTTTTTTTTTTTTATTATTGATTACAATTATAGGCAGAAAGAATTCACATCTTGTTCTTCATGTAGACCATCGGAGCAGAATTAGCAGCCAAGGTTGCTTCACTCTTTCAGCAGCGAGTTGCACTTTCTTTGGAGAACAACTCTATGAGGCAACAGATTGCCATTCTTCGGCACCAGAAAATCATCAAAGACGGTCAGTAGAAACCAGTTTGAACTGATTCAATTTATGCATTGAAATACTCATCTTATACAACTCAGCTTGGTCTCTTGGTTGGAAGCTTAGGCTATCAACTAAGAGGTCTTGAGTTTGAGTCTTGTGCACGTGATGTGTGTGTGAGTTTATCTTAGACTTCATTGGGGCGGCTTTCTTACTGCTTCTTAAATCAACTTTTTAATACAAAAAATTTAATTTAACCTAAATGTCAAAAAAAAAAACTCAACTCATTTACAATCAGGTGAACATCAGTACCTAAAGAATGAGGCTGAGAAACTGAAGATGATTTCTGGACGACATCGGAGGAGCAAAAGCATTTCTGCCCCTTTCTTTGAACCAGGCCTGCGTGAGAACATTCACTCAGAAACAACTTGGCAATCGTTGGATTTTAGAAGGCTTAGCTTTGGCGAGGCTTCAGTTCCCTTGGACCATGGCTTGGGACATTAGTGCTTATTAGTTCAAAAATTCCCTACTATAGCCTTAGATGCGTTCTTGGGGTTGAATTATAACTCTTTTTCTCCTTTTGATAAACATTTATATTAGCTCTGTGAAATGGTAGGTTACATTATGTTGGTTCTTAGTTACAATGATAGAAAATTTGAGAGTGGAATTCCCAGCTCCATGGAAGTCTTGTTATCCAGCCTTTAGGCTTATTGGTGGAAACATTGGAAGACTGCAAAGCTGTTTTAATCATGGAAGTATGTCAATGATATTATTAGGTTGAAGAAAGTTCCATTTCCATTTGATGCAGCCATGATATTCTTTTTAGTGAGGATATTCTTTTTTTTATTATATATTTTTATTATTTGAAATAAATTTATTTATTTATTTTTTAAAGCAGTTTTTAAACATAATAATTTTTAATGTAAATTTTTAGTATAAAAATTAAATTTTTTAAATATATTTAACCTATTTTTATGAAGGATAAGGATAATCTAATAAAATAAAAAAAGTTTAGAATTTGCTTAGATTAGGAAAGCTGATGTGGAGGGCTGAACTAACCTAATCAATCAGTACTGATCTCTACGGATTCTATAATGAAAATAATTGTAAGTACAGGAAGTCCAACCAAACATGTTGTCTTCTAAGCTCTGCTCTTTAGTTTTCTTTGGAAGCTTCCCCATAGCTGCATGTTGACTCCCTAAGCAGAAACAATCTTCTGGTAAGGGATTAGTCCCACATCTGTTATGAACTAAAGGGGGATATATCGAACTACAAATCTAATAATAGCATGATAATTAAATGAAAAAAAAGTGTTTTTTATTTTATTTTTTATGTCCAAAGTGTGAAGTTTTTAATTATAAATGAAATGAAAAAGCACATGTTTCAGTTTGATCATTGGAGTACCTTCAAATTATAATTAATAAATGTAATGATTAGATTTAGAAGAAAATGATGAACATTATTTATGCTAAATAGTGGGCTTTATGATGATTTATTACTTTCTTTCAAATATTTCAACAATTTTTTTATTATTAGTATTATTTGTCAATATATCTTATTTTACTTATAACCAAGGGTTAGATATCATATATAGTAAAATATAAAAAATTTAGACGTAGATAATGGTGGCTTTTCTACTTCATATATATTTTTGAAGTATAATTGCCACATATAGTCGTCTGTACTGATTGATAATGGTGGCTTTTCTTAAAAGCTGCTGTAAGAAACAATAAAAAAGTCGTCCCAAACGAAGCCTGTTTTTTATTTTTATTCATTTAAGTTCATCTAACTTTGTAAAGATGAAAGTTATTTTAAGTATTGACTATGACCATTATTATATACATAATATAATTTTTTTTTAGTTTCCTATATGTTAACTTGGTGCTAATTTGATCTCATTGTGCAAAGCTTTACTTATCAAATTTAAAAGGTGCATAATATGCTCTCTTGTGGCTATTTCTATACCACAATGTTGAGCTTCTCAATCATTATTTATTTTCCATATACTTTAGTCTATCACTCAATCATTATTTAAAGGGTCAATGTAACATCTTTTCTAATAACATATTACATAAAAATAATCTTAAAATTATCTTAAATCATTGGATATAGTTAACCTATCTTCTTTTAATATTTGCTTATGTGCAAGATATTTTTGTGAGCTCAATACGCCGAACATTAAAAATCATTATCATAACATAATCATATTAACTAAGATAAATTAAAAAAATCCAAACCAAATTTTTTAAAGCAAGAAAATAATTAACTAATGAAGCCTAATTAATTAATTCTTAGTGAGCTTACCCAAAATCCCACCATAGTAATTTAATATGATAACACTCCTTCCAATGATAAAAAAGTTTTAGAAGGATCTAGTCGCTAATTACATCATCCTCAACGCCATTCTTCCATTTGCTCAATCCCTACCCTACCAACTTGCCATTTGCTACAGCCATATCCATTTCTTTATAAGCTCATATTATTTCTATATATAATCTATATTTTTATAGCCTTCGATGTACTCACATATACACTTATAGACCAATCTATCTCCTCAAAACTTCTTCCTCTCCCTCCATTCTCTTATTTCCATTCACCTGCCAATTACCACTCTTCTTGTTCTTTTTCTTGCTATTCTTCTTCTTCATCTTCCAATTCTTCTTCTTCAGTTAATTCTTCTTCTTCTGTTTTCTTCAATCAATTCTTCTTCTATCACAGAAACATGAGGGAAAAACAAATACAAGAAGTGAGCAGCTCTCTCTAACTTCTCTCACATATAGATCGTTTGTTTCAACATATTCTGATACAATATTGTGTCAGAAGAGAGAAAAAATAGTCAAAATTAGAAGACAGAGAAAAAAGCAAAATCTTTTGTTTTAATCCTGATACAGAATATGTCAGAACATTCAGATATTTTTTCTGCAACTGAAGCGCAAGAAGATATTGTTCAGCTAACTTTCTTTGTTTTAGGCTATGCGGTCACAATTGCTCAATCAGTTCTTTCCCAAGCCAGGTATCAAATAGCTAGAGATTAATTAATCTCTCTGTTGTAGCCTTCAACTACACTGAGCTGATTTCGCCGGAGTTCTTGAGCTCAAATGTTGTCGGAGAAGGCTTTTCAGTACAAAAAGGATTATAAGTAAGACATCATAATATATTTTTAATAACACTAACTAAAATCATCAATAAAGAATGCTAATTATAATTCTGTTTGCATGAAATGCACTTGAAATCTCATTGTTGGTTCATCTATTGCCTGATTGTTATTAAAGAGTGCTAGTCAGCACTTGGAATGTAGGTGGCCTGCAGCCTTCTGATGGCCTTGACTTGGAGGACTTGCTGCAAACAAAGGAGACCTGTTATGATATTTATGTTCTCGGGTATTGAAATATTCTTTAATCTTTCTTCATTGATATTATTATTTTCTTAAAAAAAAATTATAATTATGTATTAATCTTGATAGGTTTCAAGAGATTGTGCCACTTAATGCGAAAAACATTATTGGGCCTGAGAGAAGAAGTATTTCCTTGAGGTGGAACACTGTGATTAGTGAGGAACTGAATAAGAATTCTGGGGGAAAGAAGAAGAGAAGCTCCTGTGAAGAATATGAATGCCTGATTAGCAAGCAAATGGTTGGAATAATGGTGTCAGTGTGGGTGAGAAGAGAGCTACAGCAGCACCTTCATCACCTTAGTGTCTCCTGCGTTGCCTGTGGCTTCTTAGGATTTCTTGGAAATAAGGTCTGTAATGAATGATCCTTTCGATCTCCTCTATGATTTTCTAGTGCTGAAATTGCTTAATTATATGAGCTATATTTGCAGGGGTCAGTTTCTGTAAGGTTTTTCCTACATGGAACAAGCATTTGCTTCGTATGTTGCCATTTGGCTTCAGGAGGAAAGGAAGGGGATGAGATCTACAGGAACTCTGATGCCATTGATATAATCTCTCGGACGAACTTTCCACAGATTTCTTCAACGAATTTGCCTCAGAAGATTTTTTATCATGAGTGAGCAGCTCTCAATTATTTCTCTTATATTTTTCTTTAATTGATTTGGCTTATTTTCTTTTGTTTTTTGTTTTGGATAAACGTGAAAATAGCTATAATTATTTTGGATCAGTTTAGGCTTTTGATTGAGACAATTTTCTTATTGCTTTTTGAAGTAGCTTTTTCTAGCACATAAATATCTTAAAAACAACAAAAAAAATAGTAAAAAAAATTGTCTCAAACAAAGGCTTAGTGACTAGTAGCTCATAGCTCATAATATTGAAGTATTGTATCCTTAAGTTAAATAACTTTACGGTCTACATCGAGTGAAATTATTTTGTGTGGATACGGACATCATTCGGAGGCAAATCAGGATGCACCACATCACTCGTTTGTTGTGTATTACGGCTCTGTACCAAGTGATGTGACGAGTTCCGACTCGCCTCCGGATGGTCCGGTGTCCCTACATAATAATTTCTCCTACATGAGACGGCTTTTTCGCTGTTTTATTTTTAGATAGAAATCAAATTTTACTTTCGCCACTACTTTTCTTGCTATTTGCTCACCGTTTTTAAGATATTTTTGTGATGGAATTCTATTTTTTATAAGTAGAGTAGCTCAATTATTTTTCTCACAATAATTTTACAATTAATTTTATAAAATAATGCGTATAATTGTAAAAACATTTTTTTTTTCATTGGATAAATAAATAAATAAATAAAAATTTGATAGGCATAACCTTATATATTTACTTATTTAGTTTGGAAAGTCAAGCTAGTCTGCTAGTGGATGCATTCTGTCATGCATCATGCATGGCATAAAGTAAGTACGTTTATTATACACCACAAGAATTATCTTTTTTTTTTTATATATAATCCAAACAAGGTCAAGATCATGCGGCAATAGAGTGAAGAGAAAGTCCAATTTTAAAAATATTTTAAATATCCCACTTGTATGTTTTTTTCTTTAATTAGGAAAGCAGAAATGGCTGGCATGAAATAATCCTATTAAATTAAATTAAAAAAAAAATGTTAAATTAATATATCTTTGTTTGCAGAAAATTATTATTATTTAACAGAATATGTAAAATGTTTTCTAAATGCATATTTATTTAAGTATTATATTAAGATTTCATTTAGGACGACTTACTTATTATTTTTTAAAATAATTTTTTAGTACAAAAATTATACATATAATTACTTTATATGTATCTTGACAATAATTGTTCTTTTCAACTAAGCTTTAGACACTAAAAAATTTGCTCACAATATCAAAAATTGGGAACATATATGACTAAGGCTTCGTTCGGAATAGCTTTCTTACTGCTTATGAAAACATTTTTTTAGTACACTAGAAATTACTTTAAAAAGCTATAAGAAAGCTGTCCCAAATGAAATTTAGAACTCATTTGATTTTTTATTTGAATTCAAATTAATTTAGATAATTTTTTGTCATGTTTGAAGTTATTTGACCCCCGAGTTTTTGAATCAAAATCAATCTATTTACGATCAATTAATTGTAACTCGTTCGAGATTTTATATAATAACATTAGAAAAACCAATTGTTTAATTATGTTATTAATTAGATAATCAGTTTTATGTATTTATTAATGTAAAATAATAAAAATATTTATTATTTATTGCAGCCGAATAATCTTACTAGGTGATTTGAACTATAGAATTTCCTTACCAGAGGCTGAGACTCGATGGCTAGTTGAAAGAAAGGAGTGGAACCTCTTGCTTGAGAAAGATCAAGTACTCCTCCTTATTTTTCTTATTTTTTATTTTATTTTTTGACTTAATATAATTAATTATTAATAATATATATTATTTTGTTGTGAGATTATTATAGCTGCGTTATGAGAGGGCAGAAGGTCGGGTGTTCGCGGACTGGGAAGAAGGCAACATAAGCTTCCAACCAACGTACAAATATTACCCAAACACTGATAAATACTATTGCTGCGTTGAGGGCAAGAAGGAGAAAGCGAGAGCTCCAGCATGGTGAGTCCTTTTCTTATCCAATATTATATTTAGTTCATATTTGGGACTATTTTTTAGCTGCTTTATTTTTCAGACAACAATCATAATTTTATTTGACTATAATATTGTTCTTTTGATGAATATTCCGTTGTGAAAAATTGCTTTTTATAATCAGAATAGTTAAGAATCTGTATGAGATAGCTTTCTCGTTGTTTTGTTTTAACAGCCATAATTTTATTTGACAATTATTTTCTTGTTATTTTTCACTATTTTTCATTAAAAAAATAGTATTGCTAAGTTGATTTCCAACATCAAGTACTTCACAACCAACTTTATAAAATATTGCAATCGTCTCAAATAAACTCTAAGGCTTTGTTTGGGACGCATTTTTTAATATTTTTTAAAACAACTTTTTAGTACAAAAATTAAAATTTTTATATTAAAAAACTGCTTTAAGAAGCAGTAAGAAAGCCATTTTAAGTAGCAAGAAAACCGCCCCAAACGAAGCCTAAGTTATTTTTTCAATAATAGCTTCACAATCAATTTAAAAAAAAAACTACAGCTGTCTCAAACAGACTCTTACTTTATTAAAAATAAAAAACTATCAATGAAAATAAAAAAAAAAATTTCGATATAGTTTTATTTGAGGACAATAAATTATAGAAATTTTTTCAAAAGAAATATTTCAGTCCAACAAACAATAAATTTCTCCAGCCACAAGAAAGGCACTTGAAATAAGAGGTCTACCAAAGTCCACGTATCTCCATTTCATTGGGCAGTTTGGCTGAATATTTTTCAATAAATTTGTAGTATTTTGCCGACGTTCCAATCATTGAGCTTTAATAGTTAGGTAAAGAAGCCGCTTTTATTGACAGATAATTCCCTCTTTATTCCCATTAAGTAAATAATTTTAATATGAATTCCATATAATATATATTAAAAAAGAAATAGATAAAGTTTTTTTAATTATGTGTAAAGGTGCGATAGAATTCTATGGTACGGGAAAGGTCTGAAGCAAAGGGAATACAATAGATGTGAACTGAAGCTCTCCGACCACCGGCCGGTGAGGTGCATCTTCAACGTCGAGGTGGTTGCGCCGTCGCAGTCGCCGTCGTCTCCGGCGCCATCAACAGCCAATTTCAGCTCGCTGATGAGAAGCTTCTTCTTGTCAGACGGATTTGAACGATTAGATGGGCATTTTGAAGCTTAAACTATGTAATTTGTTATCAAAGAGCATTCAGATTGAGGTCAAAATTGTTAATTTGATTGAGATTTGCTCAAAGTTTATTTCTTGTAATCATGCAACTGTAATCAAATACAAGCTACTAATTAGTAATTATTATATATTGCCCCCTGCATTTTTTTAATATAATTTTGTTGTGATTATATATATTTGAGTGTAGTTATATTATAAATGAAAGAAATTGGGTGATAATTTTATAAATATGTAAGATTTTAATATAATTTTTGCATTTTTGTTATATTTAATTGTGGGCTCCGAAAAATTCCATTTTTTTAGGGTGTGTGATCCCGGGGGAATTTTCAGAAGGCAGATTGGGTTTTATAGATAAGACACTACCCAGAGATTTCGCCCTCATTTGGTGAGGACTTTTTGATCTGAGTTCTGGTTTCCTATAGGAGCAAGCCCCTATAGTTAATTACCCCTCCTGATAACAGGAGAGAACTTTCGATTAAGGCTAGTCATTAAGGATGTCGAATATGTTATAAACCTATCATAAAATAGCAATAGTTTAAGGTTTAAGTTTTAGATTTGAATTTTAAAGTTTGGAATTTGAAGTTTATCACCATAAACTTAAAACTGGTGGTGGGGGCAATGAAGACGAGCCCGATCAAGATCTCATGGTTCCGTCGTCCCGGGCTGTCATGATCCCTGGTCTACTTAGTCAGAGGAGGTAGTCGACCCAACCTGACAGAAGGCACCTTGTCGGCAGCCATGGGTTGCTTCGTCCAAGAATACCTTGTAGACCGGGGTTGAATGTTTGTCTAAGGGGACAAATTTGAATCCACCTTAGCTAACAGAGGGCTTTATGCCTATTGGATATACCTATGATCCATCGCTCAAGGGTTTGACGCCTTTAGGGACATACGGGCTTTGGCCGTGATCGTAATATAATGGTGCCATTTTGCGGCAAAACCACCCGATCAGAGGGCACGTGCCACGTCCCTGTTGGCAAGAGACTGTTTGAGGATGAATCGTAGTGATACAACCCGATACAACATTTACTCTCTTTGTGAGCTGAGGTTAATTCATTTTATCACCCCGACAAACGGTTGCAGGAGGTGGATGATTTTTAGTTTGAGTTTTTTAGGTGATGATTTTATTTCAAGAATTTAGACTTTTTGTTTGATTTGAGATTAAACCCCTCCGGTTGAGATTTTCTGTCACATCAAGCGGTGCCATCATCGGGGTGACATTAAGGTCACTTGTATTTTTTGTAAGAATTTGGGAGGCATTTTGTTATTCAAGTCATGTCGACTCCAGTCCTTTCGAGGAGGATGAAACTTAAATATTTAAACCCGCGCAGCATTCTCGGATCGTTGGATTTGAGATTTATATGCGACGATCGGAGCACATGCGGGTAAATATCATTTGACCCTGCGCAGCATTCTCGATTATTTGTGTTTGTACTTATAATAGATTTATCGGAGCACATGCAGGGATTGAATTTTAGTTTAAGGGATCATATTTAATATATAAGGGGCATTTTAAAATATTTAAATATACAAATTATGAGAGTGATTTTATTTATAAAATGTCCAAGATTTCACTTAAGAGCCTATCGAACGCCTTCTGTCCGCTTGAACACATGTTGCAGTCCGGTGGCGTTGTTCTATAATTTAGGTTCATTTATAGCACATAGAAGATATTCTTTTGTTATTAATATCTCACTCAACCATAACTTACAGAGAATGCTTGTTTTGATGGGCATTAGGAGATCATCGCTAGTATTCGTAGGGCAATTATCATTGCTTGTTATAAATTCCCTTATTCTCTCCCATGAATTAAATTGATTTATTTGATACAAGCTCCTTGTCCTTGCTTGCAGACTAGTTGTTGTTGAGGGTGACCTAGACAATTTCTCATTTCTTGGAGTATAAGGTCTTACTGATTTTATTGAGAATCATCGGGTTTCTTCAAAATCATCATATTGTGATCAATTGTCTTAATAAGTTAGTTCACATTTGTAGGAAGTTTGGTCAATATAACATAATCATCTTGATATTGCATAAGCAACATAAGCAAGATACCTTAGTGACTTAGACATTAATAAAAATCTTCCATCAAATAAAAAAAAATATTTTATGGATGCATGGACTTAATTATTAGCCTTAGTTAAAAATCTTATACATGATTAAAGTTGACACTCAAAATTATGTATAGAGCAAGTTTCTAGCATCCAATCTCCTTCCATGGACTTCAAGAAAATTTTCACCTTCATTTTAGATGTAGTCGTACATGGATTTTTCTTCTGTGTGTGTAGTGGTTTTCTGCAATGGCCTGCAGATATTTGCATTCGTCGCTAATTTCTAAAAGTGACTATTTAAAATTCAAGTCCTTATAATCATGTTGGACTGCAAGTATGGTTTGAGTTCAAATTTGGAGTCCATTTCGAGTTTAAGTTCAAGTCCAAAATTATTTGATCGAATATGATTTAAAATTCATTTTATGTTTAAATTGAATTTAAATCAATTTTTTATTTAAAGTCCAAGTTTCTGTTGTTCACTAAAAATTTTGGCAGCCTCCCGGCATCGCCTCCCACCGAGGGAGAAATCGGGACGGCATCTGCCGAAATTCTTCCTACCCGGACCTAAGGTCGACGGCGTAGGGGCTTCGAATTTAAATCATCCCACCAGGATCTAAGATCGACTGCGTGAGGTCTTCAATTTGGAACCATCCCGGCCGGATCTAAGATGCGACGGCCCGAGGTCTTCAAATTTTAAACCATCCCGGTCGGATCTAAGGTACGACGGCCGAGGTCTTCGACACCTGTTTAAAAAATCAATTTATTTCTCTCCATCTCTATCTCTCTCTTTTTTTTTTATATTATATTTTATTTTTATCTTATATATATATATATATATTATATTTATATTATATTATATATATATATATATATATAATATATATAATTATATATATATTAATATATTCAATATATATATTTATATTTTATAAATTATAATATAATTACTATATATACATAATATAATATATTAATAATACATATATTATATTATATATGAAATAGAGAGGGAAAGAGCCCATCATCGGCTAGGGCAGGAGCATGACGGCAAGGAGGATGGATCGGAGGAATCACGCACGGCTCGGGACAGGTTGCGGAGGGTCAGACGTCTGGGATCCGGCGACGGATGGCAGCAGCGTCGGCCCGGAGGTTGGGTCGGCAGAAGGTCGACGCCGAGTTGGTCGGCCGGAGGTTTGAAGCGGAGAAGGGAGTTCGGTCGGCTTAAGTGATGGCAGAGGATAGTCTTTCCCAAAACCTTCCTGTGCGTTTTTCGTGTCTCCATTGAGAGGCATTTTTTATTTTAATTTTCTGAGTATGTCGGTTTCTGTCATTGAGTGGGTAGGCAAATTCATTGCGAGGTGGGACCGGAGACGGTATGTGTCCGTTTGGGTTTTCATCGGTGGTGTAAAGCAGTTTACAGTCAACAAATGCCCACCCAACAAAATATGATATGGCTCCTATAGTCAATCATATTTTGTTGTAATAACTGCGTTGAGCGGAGAATGGAGTTTTTTTCGATCGGGATTTAGTGATGGCAGAGGTAAGTCTTTGACCCCAACTCTTCTCTGGTGCGTTTTTTCGTGTCTCCATTGAGAGGATTTTTTTATTTTAATTTCGTGAGTATGTCGGTTTCTGTCATTTGAGTCGGTAGGCAAATCATTTGGCGAGTGGGACCGTTGGAGACCGGTTGTGTCGTTTGGGGCTTCAGTCGGTTTGTAAGCAGTTACAGTCAACAAATGCCCATTACCAAACAAAATAATGAATATGCGCTCTAAAATAGCAGATCATATTGTTGATAAACTGGTTGGACCCTATAGAAATTTCTAAACTAAATTTAGATGTCTGATAGAGGTCTTTTAGAAATCCATGATTTATTATTTAAGATTTTATCATGAATTACATTCTTCTGCCTAGCCTTGTGCTTTTATCGGGCTTGATGAAGAATCCATTATTGATGGACCTAGATCCTTTAGGAATGCTATATTAGTCGGTGGTAAATTAGTCAATCTGTCCAAAAGCTTTTTGCATGAGGACTTTGATGATGACAATGATTCCCTTTAGTATCAGCCTATAGATTATAAGAAACTGCCGGGATAATTTTTTCTTCGGTCCCTGAGCTTTGTGTTTGTCCGGACATATTGAAGAAAATGAAGCTCCTTTCGATCTTAGCTTTGTGCTTTGACAGATTTATTGAAGGATTAATGCTTCTAAATTTGAAAGGAGTTTTTATTGTGGGCTTGGTGCCTTTGACTTGACGAGAATTTTCTGAATGTTGCCATCACATCCATTTGTTTAGTTGAGAAAAATATTTTGAATTGAAACCTGGTTTGATTCGTTAAATTTTGATAAATAATCAAACTTTATAGTTTTGCATCGGCGCTACGCAAAAACAGGTGCTTTCCTACTACGGCCATCCTTATCACGGCTTGTTGAGTAAGTAAAGCTATCAGTTGGCTCGCCGCATATAGGCTTGTTGAGACACTGATATTAAATTCTGTTTGAGCACTGGACTTGTACTATGACAGTTCCTACTTGTCGAAATTTGATTTGTTGAAGTTGTCCGATCAATAAATTTCCTTTCATTCTGAACTTACGAGATTTTTGCAAAATTTTACAATGATCGTAATTATTGCCTGCGTGAAGGCACCAGCTTCTGCCCTGTTTATTTATGCTTGATAGCTTCACGAATAATTTTAAATATTTATTTGGTTCGATGATAGTCCCAATAAATATTAAAATGCCCCATGCCTGAAGGGAAATTTGCATCCGTTATCAGATTTTTTTGACATTTTTTAAATTTAAAAAATGCCCCTGTCTTGTGGTGAGAATTTTCTAAGGCATCTAGAATATTATCTCCTTTACAAGGGAATGATCTTCACTTACTTTTTTTATAAGAATAATATTCTTAAGTATCTCCCATTGACTTGGGGCATAGGTTCTTCGATTTCCAAATCGATGAGTTGATAGCCTCCTTCCTGAATACACCTTCTCAACTGCTACAAAAGGACCTTACCAATTTGGTTTCAAATTTACCACCAATTCTTTGGTGTGGAATAATTATCTTCTCGAGACTAAGATGTCATTTCAGGATG